TTGAGGCTGTACTAAGTACGTGGCTTCATATTTCGACTTTGCCTTGGGACTCTCTGTATCACTTAAACTCAGCTCTATTCTCTAGCAACCTCCAGACAGCCTACTCCACTCCTCAAACTGATGTATGGTCTCAGGAACCCAGGCCAGATCCTGCAGAGACCCAGCATCTGGGCTCTGCTGGTTATGAATTGGAAGATGAGATGAAGGAACTCAGGGAGTGCCTGCCCAGGGATGTGAAGGGTTGGGCCACCTGATGGATGGTGATTATAGCAGGGCTGGACCCAGGGCTCAAGGACATGTGAATGGGCTTGGTATGAGACAACTCCAATGGAGTCCAGACCCTGAAGGCCAAGGAGAAGGTGAGGGAGAGAGGAGAGGAGGAAACAGACATAGGAAGACAACCTAGCCTTGAGCCAGGCCGTGAAAGCTCTTCCTCCAAGCCTGAGGTTGTAGATGGGTAAGAAACTGGGAAATATCTGACTGTCTCCAGGCCACAAAATTGTGCTGTTCTCTTCAGCACTCAATCAATATTATGAACAATCATAAGAAAGTTTATATCTTGAGCTAATTTTACTCTCAATGCTATATGCTATCTTCAATTGCATTTTCTTTTTTTGCAAATTGAAACTGCCTCGAATAACTCAGGATGGGGCTTGTAACACAGGTACAGTTTAAGAAGCCAGTATTCAGATGGTGGAACAAACATCTGATATTTATTCTGTAAGCACGGAGCACAGTCAGTCACAGAGTAAACATGCCCCTGCTTTCCTGAATTCCAATCCGATGGGAGGGCTGAATTCTGAATAATAACCAACTATGTGTCACACATTCAGCTGAATGCTAGGTATAAACATAAGAATGACATGCTTTCTACTCTCCAGAAACTCCCAGTGCATTAATTAGGTCACGGCCTAAATAATACCAATACAAAATCAATGATATCAGTAAAGGAGGTACAAAGAGCTAAGAGTGTGTGAAGGGAGAGGCTAATTACAAATACATTAATTACCCAATATCTCATTCCTTGGTTTTCTCTGTGGTTTGATCTTCAGTATCCTGGCCATCTGAAACAGAGACACATCTTTCATGCAAAATGCCACAGTCATACAGGTGAACATATAGTCTGAGTTCCACGTTGGGTCCTAGGAGAGCACTGAGTGATGGAGATGCAAAGAAATGAGATGTCAAGCAGCACAGAAGACAGGGGAAAGGAAGCAGTGTAGTTGCATTTAAATAAAAAAAAAGATTGGTCTTTTAATTGGAAGACATAAAAATGAATTGTTTCACTTTTTATCTATTAGGCAAAAAGATTATAGAATCCACTTTTAGCAGGAACTTCCCAATGACATAGCAACTGACAATTCAGTCACGATTGTAAAGATTACTAATAAGGACGAGATATTATGCACATTTTTGTGCTTCTAACAAATAATCTACAGGTATTTGTTTTAATGCTATGTTTATGCATAGAATTTTTCCATACCCATTTCTAACCAGACATAGAAATCACCTTCCTCATGATGGGCAGAAGATGGTTTAAGTATAATGGGAGGGAGGAACTTTCTAGCTTGGACATTGATTAATTGTCAAACACTAAGGACCATGATTACTATTAACCATGTAGTGAGCATCACAGAAGGTTATCAGGGTGTTTATTTTTAAACAGTGAAACATCTTGTTAAGTTTCACTATAAAGGTGTAGAGACAAAAATTTGAGCTGTGTTCAAGTCGTGATGCTTACAGCTTTATCATCTATGGTTAACACAATTATGTTTCAGTCATAAGCTGACATGACTTTACCTTAACACGTTGATCAAAAGTCTTAACCAACAACAATAAAAAACTGAAATTTGTGGTTGAAAGAGTAGAACTTGTGTTTGTGGGGAAGAGGGAGGAACAGGAAACCCTCCTTACCACCAATGTGAAAATCAAAGATTCTCTTAAGATATGTTTCACGCACTGAGGTATAGTTGATTAAAAGTGGAAACCCAAGCCCAAAGACCTGTAGGAAACCATTACCTATTGAAAAGAGACAGTTCATATAAAAATGTATACTGAGCCTCATCATGCCTGCAGACAGTATGATAACCCCCTCTTGAAGTCTATATGTATACTGAGCCTCATCATGCCTGCAGACAGTATGATAACCCCCTCTTGAAGTCTATATGTATACTGAGCCTCATCATGCCTGCAGACAGTATGATAACCCCCTCTTGAAGTCTATATCTTAGGTGCTGTGTGGGTATGAGTGTATCTCAGTTACTCCCCTTCTCTGCTGAGACCTTAAGTTATTAATCTGTCTCATTTTTCAATATCTTACACGTTGTAATATAGTAGCCAATTAATAACTTTTTAAATTTTGGAGGAGACTGGACTAGAATGGAATAGAAAGTAGAATAAAGGAAAACGCTAAGATTAGTATTGACAGCTTCTGATGTTAAGTTGTTCATTTTGATTATTTCCTATTGGTTGGTCCCATACATTTAATGATTACCAGTGAAATTAGGACTGATCATTAAAAAGTTTATTCGTGAATCAGGAAGCAACCTGCCTCCAAAGAAAGGATACTTGAAGGAAAGACTGAGCACATTAGTCAAAGAAGAGCTGCAGAGGGTTTTTTCAGATCAGGGTGTATACACGCTACCCTAAGTTGTTTGCCAGCCTGAATTTCATTAATTCTATTTGGAAATAATAACTCACTACGCTAAAGAGCCAAACATAATCACACATTGCCACGCAACATTCTTCTGGCCAAAGAGGTCTGATTCAGAATCTTTGACAAACTTATTATTTTAACAGCTTCACAGCTCAACCTGGTGAAAATCATTTCAAGAAGGAATGAGCTAAAATGCTCCTTTAAAAGGGCCATTCTTGGCGTAAACCCAGGAGGCGGAGCTTGCAGTGAGCCGAGATCCGGTCACTGCGCTCCAGCCTGGGCGACAGAGCAAGACTCCGTCTCAAAAAAAAAAAAAAAAAGGGCCATTCTTTTAGTTTAAAATAATATCCAAATGCCTCTCACCACCTTTTCCCTAGCAGAAAGTTAGTTCCTCTCTGGCATGCACCGCGGATTGTGTCAGAAACAAAAGTTGGCCATCACAGGATGGAATTTATAAAATTTTACATAAAAATGCTGGCAATATTTGCCTAGTTATATTATCTAAGAAGCTGAGAAATTTTGTTTATATTTGAAGATCAGCAAATGCCAAAAATACTAATTTGAATTGTATAACCTTTCCCGGTGTTACACAGAAGTGCCGCTGATAGAGCCTGTCTTAATACGCCTGTGGAACTTTTTAGGTATCAAAAAAAACGATTTATGTTCAGTGGCATTTTAACATGGAACCTATTTTATTTTAAATCTTAAAAAACCATATTCTGCATTCATATTTGACATCAGGCCTGAAGCCCTTTCTTTCCCATCTTCACAGGTTTTGTTCCAGCTCCTCCTCAGCCGAATGCTAGGTAGAGACATAGGACTGACATGCCTTCTATCCTGCAGAAAGTCCCAGTGCAGTAATGAGGTCACAGCCAAATAATTCCAGTACAAAATCAATGGTGATCAGTAAAGGAGGTTCAAAGAGCCAAGAGAGTGTGAAGGGGGAGGCTAATTGCAAATAGATTGATTCCTCAAAATCTCTGTCCTTGGTCTTCTCTGGGTTTGAGCTCCAGTATCCTGGCCATCTGAAGCAGAGACACACTTACTGCATGGCCTTGGACAACCTCTGAGGCTTGGTTTTATCATCTGTAAAATAGAATTTACTACAACAGCAAAAGATGTTGTGAATATGAAATGAGACTACCTGAGTCAATTATAGTGGGCTGGAGATTCATTTCATTCAACTTCTTCGACTTCTCCAGACTCCGTCCAGGCTTCCGGATCCTTGGGATCTGCCTCATGGCTGCCCCAGCAGTCAGTAAAGAACACGACCCTCCTCCCAGCCAGACCCTCTGTAGAGAACTGGGGTCTGAGTTCTCAACATGAGCATCAGTATATGCAGCTTATCTGACTCTAACCCGGACATTCTGAGTCAGAGACTCCAGCATGGAGCCAGCAGTCTGTACTGCACGCACCCTCCGGAGGATTCTGATGCTCCCAAAGTTTGAGAATCATCCTTCTTTTTCTACCACTGTCCCCAAGGTCCTTAAATTCTTTCAATCCCTTTGTACCACCCACTAACTCACCTCCTCCAACCTCCCTTTTACAGGTTGTGTTGCCTGTAGTAAGTCATTGCAGAAATTCTCTACTGGAACCATACGCTAACCGTGGGTAGGAGAAGAACAACATACTCTTAGGTGGTAGAATAACTAAAAGCAACCCAAGATTTTCCTTCCGATTATCTCTGTCTCTTGTAGGAGTAGATCATCTCTCTGCTTCGCAGCCGCACATTTCATTACAGTAGGCCCCGTCTGTTGCCATTAGCTCAGCATGTGCTAGCACAGAAAAGAGCTTGGAGCCGCTCCTTCCCATAAGAGGTATCATGCACATCCCAGTGACTAAACTGTCACAGAAACCTCTAACTATGTCCTTAGAATAAATTCCTAGAAGTCTACTTCTGGCTGGGCCAAGGTAGGTATCTTTGTGGCAGACAAATTTAGATGTCTAAAATATTTCAGAAGTTACAAGCTCTGTCTTTGAAAGTGTTTCAGACCTCTCAAAGAAGAATCCTTTGAATCAAAAAGCTTCTAATTGTACATGAAGTAAACCTAGAAGACTTTCTGAAAGTCCCCCACCCTCCGCGGTCATGGGACTCACAGATCCCATATTAGGAATTCTTCATTGTCTATTCCAGGAGTGGCATTACAGACATCTGAGACTTACCCAACTCTGGGATGTGTTTTGTGGAAGCCATCCCTATTCATTAAAGATATATTCTTGATAAGCATTCCGAAAAAGTGGGGGAAAAAGCATTTCCTTTCAAACTATGAGAGCAGATGGGCATGGAAAGACATTCTTTTGGTGACAGCCGTAAAGACTGCTGACGTGTCCTTTTGCTTTGCAGGAATGTTAGTTCGGCCGGAGAGGAGGCCCGCAGAAGGATGAGAGAGTGTGATGGGCTTACGGATGCCTTGCTGTACGTGATCCAGTCTGCGCTGGGGAGCAGTGAGATCGATAGCAAGGTTGGTTGTGTTTGCATAGATTAAGCATGTTCGAGAATAAATACTCCCACGGGACTCAACAATAGCTAACAACCCTGGAGAGCCGATGCAGTAATTCAGACTTTCCTTCTGAACTCTCTCCTGGTTTCCTTATAAGAATCCAACACTTTTTAGACTGGGCTTCTAATTCTAGCATGGAACTAGATACCTGACTTCTGATTAGCCATGAGTAAATATGCAGATTGTTCTAAGTTACTCAAACCACAGGTATTCCAGATGAGTGTGTAAACTTGAATACCACAAGCTTCTAGTTTTTATTTAATGTAATCCACTTTCAAAAGAAAAGACAAGATGTTAAAACTGCCTGCTCTTTTTTTTTTTATTTTTTGCGACAGTCTCGTTGTGTCACCCAAACTCTGTCACCCAGGAGCGCAGTGGTGCAATCAAGGCTCACTGCAACCTCCACCTTCTGGGATCAAGTGATTCTCCTGCCTCAGCCTCCTGAGTAGCTAAGATTACAGGCATGCGCCACCACGCCCGGCTATTTTTTTTATTTTTAGTAGAGATGGGGTTTTACCACATTGGCCAGGCTGGTCTCAAACGCCTGACCTCAAGTGATCCACCCACCTCAGCCTCCCAAAGTGCTGGGATTACAGGCGTGAGCCACCGTGCCCAACCTTGGGATTTGAATAATCCCATATTCTTATAAACTTACTTTTTAACAACTGTTGATTACATTAAGTGCCATTTTAAAAGGCCTGCAATGTCTAAATAAATGTCACAGTGCTAACCAAATGGGGCTTCCCAACAAAGTAAGTCACTGAAATCTATTCAGTGTTTTAGTTCACAAGCCGGAATAGAATTGGATGGGCTTCTCCAGTGTTTGAGCTATTTTATTTAGTCTTCAGTAAGTTTGATTCATTCATATAAGTTTGTAATTTCATAATATGCTGTTATAAACACAAACTTTACCAATGGTCATAAAGTAATGCAGGTAATAAATGTGATTTCTTAATAAGGATTTCTCAAGAGCCACCCTTATTGACATTTTGGGGTGAATTATTATTTGTCATGGGACTGTCTTGTGCACTGCAGGGTACGTAGCAGCCTCCCTGGCTTCTGCCCACTGGATACCAGTAGCAGCCCCCATCCCCACCCCAGTAACAAACAACATCTCCAGACATTGCCACATGTCCTGCAGGGAGCAAAATTGGCCCTGGTTATGAACCGTGGCCTTAATCCTATGGTTCTCATTCTGATTCCTTATTAGAATTGCCTTTGAAGTGTTCATGTAAATACATCTGCCCAGACCCTATTGCAGTCCTCTGAACCCAACTGTCTCACTCTGGTCACAAATTTTTGTACCTTTAAAAGTTCATCAGGTAATTTGATGTACATCTTAGATTAAGAACCTGCCATGGTAGATAGAGCTTTAATATGACTCTCTAATTGGGAATCTGGTATAATGTAATTTAGTTACAAAGTTAGATAAAGAGGAGATAAAAGTGTTTCTATCCATGTAGTCATTAATTGGTTGTGTCTATAAGTTAGCAAAGCACTTCCCAACCCTGACTACACATTAGAGTTACCAAGAAATTTAGAAAATCACTGATGCCTGAGCCGTACTCCCCGAAGATCTGAACGCAAGGTGCCTCTGGGACGTCAGCCCTTTGAGTACTAGTTCACCCCCATCATGAGCACCACTTCTCATCTTTTAACTTCTGCCCAGCTGGGTTCACATCCATTCCCTGACTGTGTGTTTTTAGTTTCAGAGATGAACATAATGTAACAAAGACTAAGCATTCCCCTTTCACAGAGCCCTTACATGACCATTTTAGACCATTTAGTATCATCAACAGGAAAATTAAATTCCTAAACAAATGTCCAGTCAAGATGTCTTGAATATTTACAGATGCTTGTTAGCATAACAGACACGTGCGTTTTCAAAGGGCTCCTGAAAGTAAATCACTGAAGCGGCAATGCTCAGCATCGTCATATTCAGAGTGGTGAAAGAGTGAGGCACTGGGAGACTATACCTTTTACTGTGATGGCTACGAAAAGAGCTTTGATACTAACTGGACTGTGCAGCTGAAAATAAAATAAGAGTCAACAGCCTCATGCTTCAGCTAAGTGCGGTCACCAGCACGAAAGGTTAAGGCATCCTTCAGGAGCCGTAGTTCAAGAACCAACATGGCACAAACATCTTCTTTCTATCAGATGACCAGATTCCTAAAACCCTGGGAGACCTTGTACGTCATCTTTTCTAATGTCCACATTTTCCCCCAAAGAGGAAGTTGAAATAATTGGGAATATTCAGGGCCGGAGTCAGAAAACCCAGATATCCCTGGTGGAGTAAGAAGAGCCCTGAGCTGGCATCAAGACAGTGCCAGTGGACTGTGCCATCTCCACCTCCCACTGGCTGGAGCACCATATCCAAGTGACGTCAACTCTGTGACAAGGAGCATACTCATAGCTGAATGCCAAGGCTGTCGAAAGGATCAGATGTGATCAGCTACTCAGTAGGCGATTCTTTGGCTGGATTGTGCTGTTGAGTTTTAACGTATTATTATGGTACCGTCATTTTCCACTCAGCCCTCTGCTTGGCCGCTTTTGAGCTTTCACAATGACAACTTGAGGGTGAGGGGGCCGAATGAGTACATCTTCTTTTTAAGGCCCGAGAAGTTAAAACATAAAAGAGCCTGGATTCCATACAAGCTTGTGGCTCTGGTCCTGTAACTGGTCCAGTGTGTTGACTGCATGACATATGGTAGAGCACTCTACAACTTCCAGATTAACCCTTTCTAAGAGAAAATAAGGAAACAAAATGACCCTGGTAACCAAAAACAACTGCTGAAAGCGCTGCTGACAGCAATGGACGTCCCAAGCAAAGCTACCGGCTGCCACCCTCCTGCTAGGCTCCCAAGTCTTTTGTCTTCTCTTTCTTCTCATCCCCTTAGAGAAAAGCTCTTGAATTAAGTAACTCCCAAACCAACCCAGACTGCAAAACTCCAGGAGACTTAAATGAAAGATAAATGTGGTCCCTGTGACTTTCCTTCCCCCATTCCTCCTTCCCCACCCACCCCCATCCCTACTTTCTCTCCTCCTTCTAGCTTCTTCCCAAATCATCTCCCCAGCTGCAGCTCGATTATAAAGCATTTTTCACAACTGCAGATTTATTCCCCAGTAGTCATTTGTTAAACAGAGGAACAGCCATGCCTCCGGGGAAGACGAACAGTGGGATGAGAAAGAAGTTTATTCTCCCAAGTCTTTGATGTAAGAAAAATCAGTTTGAGCTGATTTAAAAATCATTCTAACTTATGCCATAACATTTTCCTTTCAATGAGAGTCGTTTCTCTCTTTCATGCATTGCCCTGAGTTTACCTGCTTTCATGCCAGTCCACTTTTTGATGCTGAGAGGATGCTTGGAATAGAAAATCAGGTTGACTCAGAGCCCGTGGGATTAGCAGCCCATGACACCTTGAAAAGCTGACAAGAAAGGTCTGGAATGACAGAGGCTCCAGAGATATTTTCTGAAAACTGGTTTTCCTCGGAGATTTTCACGCCCTCGGTAATAAGTACAGGACACCCGCTACCTTTCACCAGATTCCAGCCAGTGGAGGGAAGCTGTGTAGGACTGCAATCCCAGCAGCCCCGGCCCATTCCAGTCCCACCCCAGGACTGCAGAGAAGCAACTCAGTCTGGTGGGAGGTACTCACAGCTTTAGCTGTCCTCGCCTTCACCTGTACAATGGAATTGTATTATGTGCCTTCGCGGCTGGCTGTTACTTAGCAGGTGCCTGAAAAAATGATAGCCAACTTGGTAAGATTCTCCAAATAAAACTTGGCTCCGTTTATTGTTCTTTCCTGTGATAATTTTGCCGCTTTTAAAAATTGGATATTTTTCCCCTCTTTCCATGGTTCCTGGAGTCAAAAGGTCAGCTTTGTCTTAACCAGCAAACGTTTTCTGCAAAAGGTCAGAGAATAAATATTCCTAGTGTTGTGGGCCATACTGTCTCAGTCACAGCCATGTAATTCTGCTTTGTACCATGAAAGCAGCTACAGATCATTCATAAACAAATGGGCCTGGGTGTCCTCCAGGAAAACAACCTGTCATGCACAACCAGTTGTGGGCTGCATCGGGCCCCTGGGCGGCAGTTTCCTCACCCCTCTTCTCAGCAGTCACAAGTTATTACAGCTGGTGTTTTAGCAAATACTTTTGAGCAGACACTATTCAAAGAGTTGTATCTATGAGCTTATTAACCCTCACTGTTGCCCTGTACATGATACTGTTTTTGTTGTTGTTGTTTTTCTCAAGAAGGAGTCTCACTCTGTCACGCAGACCGGAGTGCAGTGGCACAATCTCGGCTCACTGCAAGCTGTGCCTCCTGGGTTCACACCATTCCCCTGCCTCAGCCTCCCGAATAGCTGGGACTACCGGCACCCGCCACCACACCTGGCTAATTTTTGTATTTTTAGTAGAGACGGGGTTTCACCTTGTTAGCCAGGATGGTCTCGATCTCCTGACCTCGTGATCCACCTGCCTTGGCCTCCCAAAGTGCTGGGATTACAGGTGTGAGCCACCGAGCCCAGCCTGTACATGATACTGTTAATATGACCCTCTATTTACAAATAAGAAAATAGAAGCACAGAAAGATTAAGCACTTTGCCCAAGGCCCCACAGCTTGTGAAATGGTGGGCCCAGGATCATAAGCCAAGCCGGCAGCCCTAGATCACATGCTCTGGACCTCGGCACTGTGCCATCTCCTGCCATTGTTAATGATATAAACCTTTGAAGAGCATTTGCTGTGCCCCTGCTTTCTTCCTAGTACTTGCGCGCTGTGTTACTTTCCTGCTGCTGTCGTAACCAATGACCACAAACTTGGTGGCTGAACCCAATGCAGGTTTATGATCTTATAGCTCTAGAGACCAGGGGTCTGAAATGGGTCTCACTGGGAAAAACTTAAAATGTGGTAAGGTCTGCGTTCCTTCTTGAGGCTCTTGGGGAGAATTTATTTCCTTCCCTATTCCAGTATCTAGACCCTGCCCACATACCTTGGCTTGTGGCACCTTCCACCATCTTCAGATCCGACCATGGCCAGCTATGTCCTTCTCATATCACATCACTGTGACTCTCCTGCCTTCTTCTTTGATGTACAGGCCCCTTGTGATGACACAGGCCCACCCAAACAATCTGGATAACCTCCCCATGTGACAAGCAGCTGATTAGTTTAACAACTCTCACCTCCTCCCAGCCACGTAACCTAACATATTCGCAGGTTCTAGAGATTAAGATGTAGACCTTGTGAGAGGGCCATTATTCTGCCTACCGCACACATATTTTAGCTCAGCTCATGCACAAGCAACCTAAGATGTGGGTCCTGTTATGACCATTTTACAGAGGGGTACACCGTGTCCCAGAGATGTCAAGTGCATTCCAAAGTCCCACATCTAAATCGGACACCTAGGGCTCTACAGGTGTACAGCTCCACAACAGGTGGCCTTAACCACCGTTTAACCTTTTGGCTAAGAAAACATGAGTGTCAGGCATCTCAAAAAAATGTAGACTAAAAATATATATGCCCCCAGATGATCACAGCCCCTCACTTTCCTGGGACAACCCTGGTTTGCACCTGTGGCCTTGACACTCAGAAAATGCTCTGGTGGGCAGTAAATATGTCCCCCACCAGAGCTGACCGAAATTCTAAGTCTTTGACTCCTCATTATCCGATCCCCAATCCCCAGCCCGGGAGTCAGAGGTGGGGCACTGTGTGTTAGTGGATGATATTTGGGATCTCTCATGGTTGTACATTCTTCCCTTCTCACAAGTGAATTTCACTCAGTAATAACAGATGTTTATAGAAGTAACTATTGCTGATAAGTCATTTCTTTGTGGGGGAGAAAAGGTCCTAAGACCTTTCCAAGTTTCTCTGATTGTTTTCCACTGTGGCTGTCAGGGGAACTTTCAGCAGCTGTCAGCTAAACACTTCCAAAGAGAAATGTGTCCGTGGAGAAAGACGCCTTTCCAGGTGGAAGAATGGAGTGCTGAGTGCTAGTTTTATTCATTCCTTCCTCTGTTTCCCCCTTTTCTTTTTGGGTTCTGCAGACCGTTGAAAACTGTGTGTGCATTTTAAGGAACCTCTCGTACCGGCTGGCGGCAGAAACGTCTCAGGGACAGCACATGGGCACGGATGAGCTGGACGGGCTACTCTGTGGCGAGGCCAATGGCAAGGACGCTGAGAGCTCTGGTTGCTGGGGCAAGAAGAAGAAGAAAAAGAAATCCCAAGATCAGGTGATGCGGGCTGCTTGCAGCTGCATGCAATTATCCCCTTCCCTAATTGCAACTTTAATATTTCCTCAATATATAGAGAATGAGCCCTGCATTTTCATCAGGAGGTAAAATCACTAATGCATCTGCACAGTTTTCCTGTGGGAATTTCACAGCTGAGACGGTGGGACATGAAATGACTTCCCCCACGTCTCGCAGTTGAGCCAAGATAGGAAATTACTTAAAAAAGAAAAAAAGACACCCGAGGCCCTAGCAGGCTCTGACATTCCACCTCTGAGCAGGCGCTGTGTTAATTCACACATTTACTTAGGGCATTGTCAGAGCTGGGTTTGGCGCCATCCAGGTGACAGAGATGGGTGGAATAGGAGATGTAGTAAAAGAAGGGAAACAGAGAGAGGGACAGGGAGGCCAAAGATCCAACGTGTATGTAATTGCTGGTCTTGAAGCGTTTGGATTTTCAGTCTCACACGTCCCATTGGAAATGGGGGTAACAGAGAATTCACAACCCTTCCACAGGATGGCATTAGAAGCTTGGCCATGGGGGACAATTCAGATGAATTCAGAACAGTATTCAGCCGGAGCCGGAGGCCTCTTGAGAACAGAATGGCCCTCACCTGCTGCAACTGGTAGTAGGTTCCCCTGCAGCAAAACGAAGACCGCTAGGCAGCAACTCACAACCCTCATGCATCAGAACAGCCTCTGCCCCTGTCCCGGGCTGCTCCTGAGAGAACAAACTCCTCACCACAGGCCCCACCAGGACAGGGAGCGATGGGAGGACAAAGCATCCCCACCTTTGCTAACACTGGAACAGAGGTTAACTTCGGGGCCTGGAAACTGATTTATCTCATCAAGGAGCTTACAGAGAGTTCTAGGTTTGCAGATGTAAAGATGGTGGATATCATTTGTCCCCTGGAATCTCTACTACATATCAAGTCAGGTTTTTAAAGAGTATTTAGAGATTAGAGAAAATATATAATACAAATAAAGTGGAAAAAAGCAATATAGAAACAGGTGTGTACATAAATATAGGTATAGATGGTACAGATATAGTCTGGCCAGTTTTGTATGATATGTCTCTTATGCAAATACAAAATGCTATCTGCATGTACAAAATGTGTGTGTTTCTTGAAAAAGCAGAGTAAGATCCAGGAGAAGATAATGATCGATTCTTTTTGTACTTCTGTATTTATAAATTTTCTACAATGGAAATTACATTTGTAATCTTTGCAAATGGCCTTTAAAAACTAATGTTTGTAAAGGCACGAAGTTCATGTATGGTTATAAAAGTGTTTGGTTTTTTCCAGACAAATTTATACCTCACTGAAAGGCGTAAGAGATTTTGGAAAATGAAAGGTTATCTAGTCTACAACACAGACCTTCCAGGACAGAGTAGCCAAATATTATAACAAGAATAAAAGTGATACAAATAATCATTGGTTTAATGATGGCCTCTAGAGCTTTTTCTAGCCCAGAAATTTATGTTGACCCTTGACTTTGGCATTGGTATTCTTGACCTTTAAAAGACACTATAATATTCTGCATGTCAAATTTACCTGTAAGAAAAATCTCAGAAACTTTTAAAAAAAAAATCCCCGTAGGGATAATTCAATAAAATATATGATACAAAAATATGTTGCATGCATGCTCTTAGTTCAAGAAATGGTTCCTCTTGAACCATACGAGAAATATCAGACTTCTAGGCCATTCTAGTCTAGAAGTACCAGACTGTGAGCTCCCGTGTGCAGAAGCGTTTGACACTCTGTGCTTCATATTCTAGTCTAAGAGGTCCTTGCCAACTCATCTATTTCTGAATCTGCTCTGTGCCTGTTGCTGAATTCTAAGGAATTGCTAGTTTCTCTAGTCTATTTTGGGCAAAACCTCCCATGAAACAGTCTGCATGTCACCTGCCAAGAAGGTGCATCTCCCCCAGCAGGACCCTCCCTGCCCTCAGCAGGGCTTTGTGCCAGCAGCCTGCCACTGCAGCGTTGGTGAGGGGAATCCGAAGATTGGGGTCCAGGGAAATAGGAGGAAACAAAATGGATTCATTTACATTTTGCACCTTTTGTAGCAATAAGCATTTTTTGGTTTTTCACCTTGGTCTATGGCCAGCGATCCTGTGATGGTGTCCTGAAGTGGATACTGTTTCGACGTGGTTTGGAGGTGACGGGACATTGTCCTCCACCAGCTGCTGGCCAGGTCAGACCTTCTTCAAGATGCTCATGGTGTGAGATTGACCGTGTGTAGAGGACCACTGAGAAAAACAAAAACTAAATAAGCAGGACCTGCTGGAATTCAAAACCTTTCTAGCTTATAAACTAATTTAAAGTTATTTAATTCAAATGGGTAAAAAATATGTATCTATCCACATGGGTGAGGAGACAAACCTATCCATTCCAACAGGATTCTGATCCACTCTTTTTATCTGGTAGGTCTTCTTTCATGATAATCTTTGTTTCACAACTGAGTATGCTGTAGTCAATTTAAGAGGAAATATGTTTGCTCTTTTTCACGTCTTTCTTAAGTTGTAGATGCCAAATGCATAGATGACTGGAAGATTCACCTGTGATATACAGGGTGCTATTTTATGCATAAAAGCAATAGGAATGGGATTCTGTGTAAAACTTCAGTGCTCCCTTGTTTTTCCCATGATGAAAGATATGTCTTGGAAGAGCTTTCAAGGCCTCTTGTCCTCACACTTTCCTGGCCTGTCTGAGGATCCCACAGACCAGCCTCTAGGCTTCTGTTCATGCTGTTCCCCTGCCTGGCCCTCCCGTTCCTCCCTTTCACCACTCACTACTTGTAGAATAATCATTCAAGAGCAGATTAAACATCCCCTCCGTCTTTCCAAATCCTCTTTCAAGTAAACAATTGCTCCCTAATCTACTTCTCCATAATTTTATTTAAACTTCTCTGCTAGTTATTATCATATTATGGGTTAAGTATAGCAACTGATCCCCAAAGAGAGCGAATTTTCTGGGGCAAAGGACTGTGTGGGTCTTATTTCAGTCTGTGACTTCTAGCCCAATGCCTGGCCCCAGTTACACTGTGGCCTATGGTGGCCCCTGGCTCTTGCTGTGGGTTTCATTGTGGGTGGGTCCTCATAACTGTGACTTTTCCCAGACTCATCGGTTTCTTTCCTGGTGAGACTTTGCCCCAAAGGGCCGCTGTGAGCCAAACGTCTTCCTCAGTCCTCCCTCCCTGTGTTTTGAGCTATTCCCCAGTCTCTCATGACAGTGCTGCATTTATCTTATTGTTAGTCGGTATTCTGAATCTGCAATCACCACCAAAACGAATGCACCATCTAAATTACTATTATCATCTAAAAACTTAAGTTAATATGCAACAAAGGTATATGCATGTGTGTCACAGTATCCCAGGAGAAGCAGGACTTTTGATCCTGCCAGACTAAACAAATTATTTGCACTGAAGGTATTATGAGATATCATGACATGCCATCACCTACAAGGTTTTCTTGGATTTTCAGGATATGGGTATTGACCACCACTTCTTCAATAGCCTCACACGTTGCCTGCTGTGTCATTTGGATGCTCTTGACCCAAAAGTGAGACTCTATCACTAAACAAACAGCATACATGTCCCAAAGCACAAACATGAATTTTATTAGTAGTTGAAATGACCACAATGGAGATTTGAACTTTAAATAACAGTTTCTTCTCATTTCAGACAAAATAGATATTAATGATAAATATCTAGGTATACATGTACACACTTAACATGTAAATAATATGTGAGTAAAATAGCACTAAGCTCCAAGAAGAAAATAATACCCACACCTTCAACACGCCTCCTCCTAGAGAGATTCACAATTACAACTTACATCTCAGCATATATCCTTTCAGATGTTTTTCTGTTAGAGGCCATATCAGACAGCAAAATTCATAAGGTCTTATAGTCAGTAAGTGTATTTTCACTGATATAGAACTCCAGTCTCTTGAGTATTCAGAAGTCAGGCTCCTTGTATTTTATGGGGTTCTCATCTTCAGGGTGCTGCCTTCCTCCTCATGGTCAAGAGTCTGGCTCTTCACATCCACAGTTCAGGAGTGGAAATGGGGGAAAGAAGACAGGAGTACCCTTTCCTTTAGGGCCCCACCCAGAAGCTGCACACATCACTGTTACATCCCTGTGACCTCTACTGACTCTGTAGTGGCACCAGAGCTGCGAGGGAGGCTGGGAATTGTAGTCTTTTGTAACAACCATGACCCTAGGTGAACCTTGGGCATACTCTTAATAAAGAAAAAAGGCATGTAGTGGCCTATTCAGGGTGTGCAGGGAGTCGAGGGCTCTCTATCCTTGTGGGGAGGGGTCTCTTACCAGTGAAATTGTGTAGCATTGTCTGCACATGGTAATGAACAAAAACCCAACTTGTATTCATTTCATTGCCTCTACATTCCCTGCAAAGACTGCAGTCTCTTACTACCTGCCCCCGGGTGACAGCCCCCACTGCCCACCTTGGCACACCACTGATGGGCAGGAAGATGTAGGCACAAGTCTGCTCTGTGTCACTTTGCTGACCGCTTTATGACAGCTTATCATTTGACACAGACTGACATTTCTCCTTGCCAGTAAGCAGTTCTTCACACTGGAATGCGGAAGAGCTACTGTGCATTCCATGGTGGAGGAATACCACGATATGGCGAACCAATCCCCTATTCCTAGAAAATCAGGTTGCTTCCAAGTTTGTACTAATGTAAACTATAATCAACATCTGTGTAGTTAAATCTCACCTACCCCCTTAATCACTTCTTAAGAATGAATTCTTAGAAGTGAAATAGCTAGACCAAATGCATGCTTTTAAGACTTTCAATACACAAACCATAATTTATCTTAATCACTCTAAATGTCAGTGACAGTTTCTGTTCATGGACTTGATTTTTTATTATCACTTCACGGATCTGCTCCTCACGACATTTCGATGCTCCTAGGCTTCCATTTCCTAATATCATGGGTGGTTTTTCTTTCTTTCCAGACAGTTTTCATTTTCT